AATTCTATGCATTCAGGTTTGTCTGAATTTTTATAAATCAATGCAATGAAGCACATTAGGTTTTTATTTTGCTTTTTAAATAGTGAAAGAAAGAAGAGATTGAGTAATTGTTAAAACAGTCATCTCATAATGAAAGGCAATTCATCAATTTAATGAAATGAAGGCATTTCTCATTTAATATAACTGAGCGTATATTGAAACCAGGGTAAAATCATGACTACTGCCTCACAGCTGTTCATCAGCATCAGACCACTGTTTCAAAATTCAGCAGTTCCCTCTTGTTCTTAGAGTTATTAAGCGACATTTGTTTCATCATGGTATCCACTTCAAGAGGTGGGAAGACAGCAGAAGAAAAAAAAATTGGATATGAGCACATGTCAAACCATTGATGCATCCTTCATCCTCCTTGTACTAAGGAAATAAAACTGCCACACTAACTGATGATATCTTAAAAAGTTTCTAAGCATTCAGGAAGCTTATAAATTCCATATTTCTGTGTGTCAATCCTCCAACATGAGTTACACATGCTTACACTTTCTATATACTTCACCCATTTCTCCACAGTCTTCCCATTTTGTCTATCTAAACTTGTTTGAGCCAACCAGCTTTTATAACAACAAGGAACTGTAGAAGTGGAGAAGCACTGAGAGAAAAAACAGAAAGCATGGTAGTGTCTACATACCAACACCTGCACAGACATTTTCATTAGGAATGCAGGTTCTGCACAAGAAAATAAATCCTCGGGCAAAACTATATAGGACAGGATGGAGGTAAAACAAAGAAGATATTAACCTTTGGAAAAACATTTAATTGCAGAGTTTACAGGCCCAGTGACAGCAACCAAAACCAGGTCAACACTGGTTGTCACAGAGCCCATCTGTTTGAGGGAGGACTGCTTGTCACCACTGAATTTAGTTTTTTTTCTTTTAGTCATGCAAAAAATACCACATCAGAACAGTCTTCTCAACTGATAATGAAAGGCAACTAATGGCGAGGAGAATTACTGGTAAACTTACGACGCAAAGTAACAGTTCACTGAGGACAATACTTAAAACTACTTCAAAGGGAAACATGCATCCAGATCTTCCATTAAAAAGAAAGCACAAGTAAATCTCAACCATGGAGACCTAGAGTAATCAAGAAGATCTTATGGACAGGCTACAGTGAAAAAAATCCTACTTGAAGTTGCCATGAATAAAAGCTAGCCAAAGGTTAAATATGAAGTGTCACACTGATGGTAGCTCAGGAAAAGAAACAAAACCAAAACCAACCAAAAAACCCCAACAATAAAAAAAAAAAAAAACAGCAAGCGAACAAGACAGCTGAGTAAAAATGAATTTGAGAGCTTTACGAAAACTCCAAATTAAACATTTGACTTCTCTAAGATGGTGGCCAGAGGACACATGCAAGAGCAGAAACAGAACTGTAGTCACCCATCCAGCCTCACAGCTCCCTCATTCCCCTCCCACTAACCCTACAGCAGGCAGTCACAAAGCCTTGAGGGGGGCACATATTAATAAGCTTCACAAGGGTGAGCATCATTTCCGGCTTGCTAAGCACCCTTTTATGCTGTCTATTCTCCCCTACAAAAACTCCCACACTAAATCTTCAGCCTCTCGATAGGCACAGCTTTTGTAAAGGAGAACTCAAGGAAGCATTGCATTCCCTTCTCTGTCAGGCTGCAACTCAATCACAAGTTCATCCCCAAACCCCCGTTACTGAACTCCAGTGGCTTGTTCTCTAGGCAGAACCCTCCTAATCTGCTGCAGCTGAACTTCCTCAGCCTATCAAGTAGGAAATCCTTTTATTGCTCTGGCCTATAAGCCTCTTATCTCCTAATTCTGTGAAGCTGAGAAATAGCTGTTCTGCTCATTAATCCTACAATGACTGTCAGAAGGGGATATCTACCTCCTCCCTCTACTCAAACACAAGTAACTACATTTCATCAAGTTCTTTACAATCTACTTAGCTGAGCCCTACTCCAGAAGATTTTACAGGAATTGGTGTAGCAGTATAGAAGCTTCTGCACTTCCTTTAAATATTCAGATTTGGTGCTATAAAAATTTTAAAGAACCTGGTTCAACATAAAGAATTGATTTTTGGAGCTGATATTGCCTAGTGCTAGAAAGAAGGTAGCCATCTCTGGAGAATTCTAAAGCTGAAGAGATCCTATTCCATCCTCTGTACTGTAGCTACCAACAAATCATTTAAGAAACAAGCATTTTTTTTTTTTTTTTCAAGCAAGTGCGATTTTAGCTGAGTGTTGTATGGATGACTATTAATACTTTCCACTATAGTTCATACACGCACCATTAGTTTATAACGAGAACTCAGTCATTTATTACAAATCCATGTCATCTATGACCTTCAAAGACTGCTCAAAGCGGAAAAAAAAAATATCCAGTTGAATTCTTGGCTTAACCAGCATCTTTAATTAGCACCCCCCCAACAAATGCTAAAGGTTGCTGGTTTTCCTCCTATATGCAGCATTCAGCAAGGAGAAATTTATAAGGTAATATTTTTATCAAGATTTCTGTCTTCTATTTCTCTGTACAAAGCGAAAGTTTACCACAAACAGTTGCTAAACAGCACTGCAAATATGACAGAGATCATATCACAAGATGTGAAAGTTCTCATATAATATACATTATTTAATATTTTACACTTATGTACTTGATCGACAAACATAGGCCTATCTGTGTAATTCAAAAAACCCCAAACCCTTCTATAAAGTTTGAGAAAAATGTTGAAGTGGCAAACTGCGTTAAGATCACAGATATCTCACATCAGTTGTACCTTTTATTTTAACTATGTCACACTTCATCATGCAGCTGTCAGCTTCCTTTAATGTACTAAATGCTATCATGTAAGCACAGAATCTGACATGATGTAACACAACAATTAAAATATAAAGCAAGTCAGCTTTGACACCATGTCACTTTTTTGTTTGCTGCAAATTAAAGGAAAAATCAAAAGTACAAAAGTAAAAGCTAGTCAAGAAAAAGTTTGCAAAACCCCAAACATCAGTTAATGTTTCCCTCTAATGTTATGTCACATTTTTACGTTCAGCTTTAAAAAAAATGTCCACATCTTTAGTACAGCTAATTACAAATTGACACCAAAGGATATCAAGAAGAAAGTCTGAAACTTCTAGAAAGACTCTATTTTAATAAATATACTTCAAGATGTCAGTTCCGTAACAGTGGACATCCATGGAACTAAGCAATTATTTTTCACTTTCTATCATACCCTTTTTCAATTTCTATCCACTCTGTGGTACTGCTGCAGCACGTTAAAATTGCTGGTGCTTTTCAAACCAGATGCAACAGCATGTAAGTTACACCTGAAGCAATTCCTAGTAACAATGAAGAAATGAACTTTAGATAATTAATACTGAAATTGGTCACGTATTACAAATTTGATTTTAATTTACCGTATTTGATGCACAACACTAAATAAAAGTGTCTGAAATGTTCAAAAATTAACTTTGGAAAAAAAGAAGTCATGTACATCTAGGAAAGTATACTGTTAATAATTAAATTTCCTCCTTTTCAGTGTTTTTCTGTTCATTTACATCAACTCTGAACCCACACTACATGTAATATATCAGCAACATAAAAAGCTTTGGCCCAAGGCAAAGTTAGAGGCATCTGTCACAAATACAGAAATGTCACATGCCTAATATTTGCTCTGGCCATCCATGATACATTCAAAACCTCCGTGGCCCAGGGAAGAAATAATCACAACAGAGTACATTTGCAGGCAGGGAGGAAAGAGCGAAGCAAAAAGAACCTAGAGTCTTGTCCTGCAAAGGAAAGGGCTGATACAGACATGTAAAGAATATTCCTTCTAAAGACATTCACTTGAAACACTGAGTTAACACAAATCCCTTTTTCCTCTTCATAGAAATAAAAGGAAAGGGGAACGTGAGGAACTCTAGAAAGTTTTACCCCCAAATACCATGTAACTTCAGAACTGTTCTCTGCTGATATACTTCTATACATTCCTAAGGATTTCCAGGCCAGTAACCTGCTAGAGTAAGATTAAGAACAGTATAATTTTGACTGGAAAAGATTTATACATGACTGTTACTACATTTTCAAATATGTTATATTTGATTGAGTATGGCAGCAAATTACAGGAAAACCTAGAAAATAGAAAACTGAGTTAAATAAAAACAAATACAGAAAGACTCACAAATAAAAATATAGAAATGAAGTAATCCAAAAATAACCTCAGACCTGCCCTTACAGCTGGTCTCCCAATAAACCAAATCCATGAGTAGAATTTTGATGCCAACGAAGCTGACAGGAATTTGATCTTTAAAGATTACACTTGGATTTATGTACTAGTTTAATTCATGTAGCCAAACACTGAAAATTATAACTGGCAACATTTGTACATTTCTAAGAACTTGGGCTGTATTATACCTCAGTAACATTTATGCTGAAGCAGATGATTTAAACAAACAAAAAACCCTCATAAATAGTATTTCTTGAGGACTATATTCAGCTACATGAAGGCTTCAAAGTAATCATAATGAATGCACACCTTTAAATTATCTGTTCTATTCTTACATTTTTTTTCTAGCCCTTGAAGTGCTTACTTATTGTTAAGAGACATTTGTGTACATACAAGGGATAGGAGAAGAGAGGGAAGGTTTAGCTCTTGGGGGCATGGACATGTCCAACTATGAAAATTTATGCAATTCATTGGTTATATTAATCCTCACAAATTCTCCTGTGACAGCGTATTGAAGGAATTCATCCACAAGGACCTTTACATTACAGACCTTAGTAGAAGATGATGTCATTGATTTGCACACCTAGGACTTCAAATGTGAAATGACACAAGAATTAAAGTTTAGAAACAAAACATCCAAAACGTTCGCTTTTTATACTTTTGGCTCTTATTATACTTAATATTATAAACAATACAGTCTGAGAACTGAGACTGGAGCTTCAAATTGAAATGGTGGTAAAATTAAATACACTTCATACCTGCACTCCTTAGGTTAGGGTCTAGGTCTGGCATTTCCTTGGATGCTTCTGGACTGACGCTGTAAATAGATGCTCCTGCTTCACTGACAATGCTGAAAAATAAAATGGCAAATAATCAAAACACCACACAACTGAACAACACAACTGAAAGGCTTAGCATGTGACTTAACCGAATATTTGATTTTTTTTTTTAATGTTTTAAAAATATTTTGGATCATCTAAATACTAATAAAAGTAAGACAGTACAGACAAAAGAAAAGATCTCCATTTAAGCCAAAATACCCCTCCCTCACCAGCAACATCCATTCTTTTCCAGTTCTGGCCCTATTATAAATACATGATCTGTGTGATATCAGCCCCTGTACTAATACTTACAGCAGAGAAAACGAACACGAGAAACAAGTGTTGCCAGAATAGGCAAACCAGCTCCCATAAACAAAACAAAAACCTGAGAATTTCATTAAAAAACCTACATTCTGAAGTCTAACATGAATTAAACAATTACATAAGTCCAAGCCATGTAAACAATGTGCACACACATTGTTTAAAGCTAGCTGCCTAAAACAGTCAGAAAAAAACCAACTGGATACAGACTGAGCCACAGAGCTGCAGCTCGCTTCTCAGCGGCATTTAATACCGTCTTCTCCCCGCTCTCACTGCCATCCCCAAAGAAAAACACAGACTGCACGTCTTCAGCAACTTAAACTACAGTTCATGTACCTAACACACCTCAAACTCATTCAGTAATGATGATAAACTCACCAATTCAAATCACAACACATAATTAAAAAACCCTTGAGTGCTCTACTTCCACTCAAGAGAAAACGGCAATCAAGTATTCACAGCGTAAGTTTATTTTCAGCCGTGAAATTTTGACACCACTGAATCAACAGTATATTTCTTCAAATAACTTCAACAGAACTTGAATTTCAGGTTGATAATTAAGCCATCATACAGCTACTGCACTGGAGAAGAGTACTATCAGTTTCAGAACTATTTTTACTTGTACTATTCCACTCTTAGAATAACCTTATTTTTGCCATAAGGAAGGAAACCACAATCCTTAAGAACCAGACCTTTCAATAAAAATCATAACTTTGCTTTATATTGTTCTAAAATTAAACTAAAAAATTTCCATTTAAGAATGTTTAGTAGGTCAAATTTTTAAATAAAGGAACTGATACCTAGAAGCCACTCCCTTTAGAAAAAGCTGAAGAATAGCTCAGAGATAAAACAGATTCCCATTCAACGTTCCAAGCATTTTAAGAGTAAATAGTGTAAAATGTAGATATAAAAGGTCAGAATTTCTTACTGTTGTTTTTACAGATTATTTTTTTTTCCCCCTCCCCAATCAAAACTGGAATTTGGTAGAGTGCTGTACACAGAAGCCAGATTTTATAGTTACTCAAAACTCAAAAGAACATTGCAATATTACAGACTGGATCTTTCAATAAATGCAGAGAATAAAAACCTGTGCTCTTCTGTATTAGCATAACTCCAGAGCCATTCAAACAACTGGTTTAACAGAGCAAAAAACTGCTCAGACTAGCTGAACAGGGCAAGTGAAAATGAAACTATTTACATGATCTTTTAAAAAGATTCAGTATTACAGGCATTCCTTCACTACAACTGATGTTCAAAAAACACTCCCATAACAGAGTTCAGAAATATGTTCATATCACAAAAAACCTAACAGCTGAAAAACAAAGATGTTGACAGAAGTCTCATCAAACTGATTTTTCTGATGAACGGGTAGTTTAAAGAACAATGCAGCAGAATGTATTTCTTAACCTGTTCACACCTAATAAAGGCAGCATCTGGCAAGTGCTTCCCTTTTGGATATTGCTTCCAAAAAACCACACATGTTAGCACATACTTCTAACAGCTTTTCACTAATCGCTCTTCAATCTTTGTATTCTAACAGATCCAAAAAGTTACCTCTCATGCAATTTCTATGTTTAATACACTGATATTATCCTCAGATTAAAAAATTAAATTAAAAAATCAATTTTGCACACATTTTTACAATGCTGTACTATAAACTGTATTACTGCATACAGCTTATTTCTTGATCCTTCCCAGTATTTTGTGCGGTGAAAAAACAAGGTGACCTGGATGGGAATTTTAACACACTTGATACTTTATGCATTCTCATGAATGCTATTTCAGAAGTAAGAGGATTGCAATAATACTATCATTCTACGGTAGCAAGTGAATTGTGCCGAATTTTAAGGTAGATAGTATAAAACCTCCTTGCTAAAATGAGTAAATAAAATTGAACTCAGGACGGAAGAAAAAAAACATTTCAAAAGAGCATATTTCCTTTCCTCAAGTACAAGAACATTTATACAGCAAGGGCAGGAGAAGGGGGGAAGCCGAGTAAAAAATTATCTCAAGCAGGAAAATAAGATATAAAAAGCACTTTCAGAAGCAGCATAAACTGGATATTTGACATCCACTCTGAGATGGTTTTGTATACGCATGCAGTTATTCTATGAAGGATTTGGTATAGCAGACTTGGAAAAGGGGGGAGGGGGGAAAATTCTGCTCACACAGAAACCCATACTGCTGCGCTTAAGACAGTAAAACCCAGACGTTAAATAAATTTGTTACCCAGAGTAAATGCGTAGGGCCACAAACTCCAAAGAAACCATCCTCTGGTTCGTTCAAGCATAGTCAGCCAAACTTCTACAGACCTATTAGCGGCTCTCGTGGTTTTATTTAGTTTGTTTTTAGCTACAGTGAGGCGGTTACTAATGTGACACTGGCACATATAATGCTAAAACATTTAGCTTGGTCACACTACTAAGATTACAAGCAAAATAGGTTTGGGGATTTTTGTTTGCAGTTGTTCTGGATTATGCTTTTTGACTAGACAGGAGACAGTCACTTTTGTTCACAGACATTTTGCTTGTTTGTTTGTTTTCAAAATTCAAATAATTCTCTTTAAAGGGGAGATACGATATAGGACAATTTAAGCTAATTTAATGTTGCAAAATGCTCTACATCGTGCTTTCAAAGAATATACATACTTTATGTGAGGGCACATTAAGACAAAACCAAACCTGCTCAAATCAGTAGGTGATAGAAATTTACTCCAAACTGCTGCGGTCCACAGTTCTCTAACCACCCCTCTCCCCCTTTTTTTAAAGGATACAATTTTCAAGAGAGTCAAATGAAAGCCCTCATAAGCATTGTTAAAAACTGTATCTAAAAATCTGTATATCATCTTCAGAAGTAGAATTTGTTTCTATTTCAACTTTTTAAGCCACATAATGTATTAAAAATGAAAACTAAACACTCTCCCCCCCCCCCCCATAAAATCAGATCCTTATTTCTGTGAATTCTTTAAGAGGAAAGATTCTCGCACTGACCAAAATCTTAACAGTTAAACCAACATTACTAAAAAGTTATTTTGCTATTTAAAGCAAGAATGTAGTAGGTAAATAAGCAAGAGATCATGATATGTTATGTTTATATTACATGAATGGACAAGTTTCATAAACTGCTTTCTGAATTAGCAAAAAAGCAGGTAAAGATTCTGGGACTGTGCCTCCATATTGTCTGCTTCCCATATTACCCATCCTACAGATAAGTTTTTTTGCTCAGCATCTATATCCAACCCTTAAAAATTAAAAGTTCCCAAACCACAAAGCCACTACACAATATTTCAATTTACTTTTTTTAATTTCACAAACAGGCCTGTTGCACAGAAAGTAAGTTTTCGTATATTGCACCCACCTCATTCACACTTGTTAAGACACATTTTAAGTACTGTTAAACCACACTAAACATATTCCACTAGCACCACCTGGCGGGCCCTCGGTTTTCTGCTAGAGACCATGCCTGCTGTATGCTAAACACCTCAAGAAGCCTTTCAAGATTTACTAGAGCAAGCTATTTTCTTACTTGGCTTAAATAAATATTATATGTTTGGTATAAAAAAATAATTTGAAGACCTGTTCAAAACATTCAGCTTTTCAATCTTTTAATTTTTTACAGGAAAAAATACTTTCTTGTAAAATGTAAACAAAAAATAATCTAAGAATACTTACTATATATATATTTTTTTAATTCAAAGCTATTACATACCTACAAAAATGCATAATGCTAAATATTACATGTAACAAACTAGAGTTACTAACAGTTGTTTAATTATATTACAATTTCATGTACGTGCATGTAATGGCACATTTTCTAAAACTCACAAGGTTCTTAGTAAATTTTCACTGAAAACCTTTTCAAAACTATGTGGAAAAATCTAATGTATGTATAATGAAGATGCTAGAGGCTTCTAGGGCTAAAGATGGATGCAACTTCCTGACATTTTCATGAACCTTACCAACATTGCTAACTATTTTATTACATCAGAGTCATTTCCCCATAATCAAATGCAACACAGGATTAATAACCTACAGAGAGAGGAAGAAGTAACTTTATCCAACTTTACATAACTTACTATACCTACAATCTCCAAAACCCTGAGTTATGACTTGAAGCCTTTAAAATAACATCTTAAGAAAAATACTAGTACAAAGACGAGACCAGTATTAATACATAGTAGAAAAATCATGGTCAACCTAAAAGCAAAGGGTATATCAACCTCAAAATGGGCCTAGATTTTCATATTTGGTCATAAAATGATCATCTGCCAAAATATAATTTCCTTCCCAATCAGAATTTAGTAATTGTGGTTAACTCCTTTAACCCAACTTCTTACATAGTAACTGATAAATATGTTCTTCATAAGCTTGTGGCAACAAAAGCTAGAGGCTCCCACAAATGACCGAAATACAGAAGGGCCAAAGGATTATTCAGTGTTACTTAGTGAAATAATTGGCTTAAGAATTACACAGGACAGAAAAATACAACTAAATAAAACAGCAAAATATTTGCTAGAAAAGAATGTTACATTTAGAAGCTCGACTGGAGTGCCACAAACTTTAATTATGTTGATAGGTTTAGTGATTAAAAACAAACTGTGGAGGGGCAGGGAAGACTTAATTAAGTACAGGCTCAAAGATTGGGCTATTTCATGAATGAGAAATCTATTGGGCCTTACTGAAAACACAGAAGTCACAACTAACTCCAG